GGGCCGGGGGCGGGGTCTCGCTGGCCGCGCGGCCCGTCGCCTTGACGACCGCGACAAGATGGCGTCGTCGCAGTACGGGTTGCTGGGGCCCGGCCCGGGGGCGCTCAGCCCCGAGCAGTTGGAGAAGCTGCGCGACTTCAAGGTGGGTGCGGTTCCCTCCCCACTCAAAGTGCAGCTCCCCCAGGACAGGGCCCCGGGACCGGGAGGAGGGCCCCCAAGAGACAGGAGCGGGATCTTGTTCCCAGATAAAGGGGCGGCAGGATCGGGGAAGACCCGCGGCGGGCGCCCCTGAACCGAGCCCAACAGGCACTTAAAAATGCGGGAAGAAATGGGCCGAACTTCCCGCCGGGTCCATGAAATTAGATACAAACAAGAACTTCCCGCCGGTCGCGATCCGTTAGGGCTCCTAGCGTGAACGGGGGGCAGCTTGGAGACGTTTATAAACGGGCGGCTTACAGTGTCAAGGATCCTGCGGGAAGACCTGAGTTAAATGCGCTGTTGTTTCCCCCCAGTCCTTCCCACCTCCAGGCCCTGAACCCGGAATCTGTCCCTAATGGAGAGTGGCTCTTTGCTCTTGTCCCCAGATTCAGGCTCGGATTGCTAACGAAAAATACCTAAGGACCCACAAAGAGGTGGAGCTGCTCCTGAGTGGTTTCTTCAGGTAGGTGGTTTTCCAGACGGGCCTTGGGCGGTTCGTGGAACTTTCACCAAATCTTGTTGGGGATAGATGAGTGGCCCCTGCTTTCTTTAAACAAACGCTTCCTGTTGCTTTCTTTGGAAACCCTGGTGGCACAGTGGTTAAGAGCTGCGGCTGCTAACCAAAAGGTCGGCAGTTCAAATCCACCAGGAGCTCCTTGGAAACCCTGTGGGGCAGTTCTACTCTGTCCTATAGGGTCGCTATGATCAGAATCGGCTCGACGGCAACGGGTTTGTTTTTGGTTTTTGCTTCCTTCAAGGTATGAGAGTTAGAAAACCCCTAAGATTTTTTGTTTCTACTCTGGAATTTGTGGCACCAGGGTTTTCTTTGGTTATCTCTAGAGGTTTCCTTCAGTTATCTCTAAATTCCCCAAAATATTACTGTTCATTCCCTTTAACTCTAAGGATAAATGTATACCTTATGGCACTTGTAAGAGGAAATTTGGCATGGAGAAACCCCACAAGCAGGCGTCAGGTGTCAACACTGTTCTCAACTAGAGCTTACAGCATCACTGGGAGAACTTTAAAAGGAAAATTCAGGCGTCTGGTCCTTCCCTTCCCAAGAACCGTTGTCATTGACCTGTGCTGCCCCCTGTAAGTCTTGGGGGAAGGAATTCCATTTTCCGCCATGTCCTTGAGTATATTCTTTCCTTCCCCACACTACCTTCTACCCTGGCTTTTGCTTGAACGAAAAATCTCCTGTTGGGCTGAAAGGCAAAGAACTGAAGGGGGGGTGGCGTCATGGCACAGCAATGGATGAAAACAGTAGGGCTGTCTCAAATACAGTTTGCCTGTGGACACATACGCAAGACTTGGATAATAATGGCCCCCCTTTCCTTCCTCATCATCCCCTCCCCTCCCCTCCATCCACCTCCCCCCACCAGGCCTTTCCCTTAGCTGCTCTGGAGCTGCCTTGCATAAAATCAACCCTCCTCACCCCTTTGAGGCCTTTCTCCTTCTGGGGTGTGGGTGATGGCGGGGTGTTTGAGGTTTGAAGGGTTGTCTTTGTTGTTGTGTGTATGCGTGTGTGTGTGTTACTGTTATTCCCTGTGGGTGGGATCAGGATGAACCAGAGCCTGCCCCTCATCTGTACTGGCTGCTTCCCGTGGTCGTTCCTAGGAGACGAGGACGGGAGGAGCACGCCTGACCTGGCCTCCTCTGCAGGTCTCTGTTTTGGACTTACCGCAAACCGTGGGTGCTCTGCCCTGTCCCTGCTCTTGTTGAGGAGACACCTCCCCACCCGGGCTTATTTAGATCCTATCGATGTATGGCCCGGGGGCCATGGTGGTGCAGTGGTTAAGAGCTCGGTTGCTAATCAAAGGTTGGCAGTTCAAATCCACCAGCC